AGAATGAGTATATGAAATTAAATTTCTAGGTGTCATAGTTGATGACCAGTTCTCCTGGAAATCTCATATCAGATATGTTCAGCATAAAATAGCTAAAAATATATAGATATTGGCAAGGGTTAGATATATGCTGGACGGGAAAGCACTACGTATTTTGTATTCTTCATTGATTTTACCATACTTAGAGTATGGTGTTGAAAACTGGGGCAATACATACAAAAGCTCACTTCAACCATTGTATATATTACAAAAAAGAGCGATAAGAATTGTGCATAAGATGGGGTATAGGGATCACACCAATGTAGCTTTCATACAGTCTAAATTGTTAACATTTTTTGATTTAGTGGGATATAAGACTGCTGTGTTTATGTATAAAGCCAGGAACAATTTATTACCTGGTGGAATTCAAAAACTATTTAATGAAAGGGAAGGGGGATACAATTTAAGGGGTCAGTTAAATCTAAAAGTTCATGCTATACGTACGACCAAAAAAAGATTTTGTATTATAAATGTATGTGTCATTCAAAATGTATGCAAGAATAAGAAATTTAATCAAGAATGCATAAAGGAAACACTCTGTTTTAAATTTTTTGTGTATTACTTGTCTGGTGAAGAAGAGAATTACCTATGTAGAGATACTGCTTGCAGCCAATGATGCATGAAATTTTTTGTATAAGATGATGTCATGGGGTAGGACTGGATAAATCTGACTTCTTCCTACTCCATTCAAACATGTACTAGGTATAAGCAAACTGATTCTGGATTAGCATTGGTTGGATTTGTGTAATTATGTGTGTGTTGATGTCATTGTTCTGCATGTTTGAAAGAATAAATCAAATCAAATCAAAAAAAACTCTTAACTAAAGTGCATGGACTCACTGGATGAGTTGTCGTAGAGTGACACGGACTCGTCCTCACTGCTGTTGTAGTTGCCAAACAGAGCCTTGTAGTTGCTGTCTTCGTACCAGTTAAGGGATTTGATCTGCAGACCGCCACCTTCAGGGTGACCGCACACGATCCTGGAGACTGCCTGGTACATGGTGCTGGGCGATGATGTGGCATTCTGCGTCAGGAAGATGATCTCGTTCCTCAGGTTGATCCAGCTCTTCATACTGGCCAACTGGAGACACAGAGGGGACTGGTCAGAGGCACTAGCAGCTCCACAGTACATGCTTAAAGTGCCTTATATTTTGTGTTACTTATTTATCTACTTTATATTTCATTTGTATTTTGTGGCATTCATGTGGACGGCAAAGTAATAATTTCACTGTACAGGGAAACACGTTTCCTAACTGTGTATATGACAAATAAACACTTTGACCTTTGAATCTAGCAGAAACAAGTCATGAACACAACTCGGACTGAAGTTGACATGTAGAACTTGTAATCGAACAGTTTCTTCTTCCCACGTCCAGCGGTCACAACATGCTCCTCCATGTGCAGTGTGTCTGTGTCCCCCTGGTGAACCCCAGTGCTCCCTCTCTGTTGGCTCTGGGTTTGGTCTCCACCACCACCTCTGGCTGTGGAGCTGCTAACTGCTGCACTGTGTTCACCAGCTGGTCTCTGACCGTTTGCTGTCGGCAGGTCGTGGACAACGGCTATTTAGAGTGTCTGCTCTGAGAACAGCTGCTTCCTGCTGCGGCCCTGGGCCGCACTGTGAGAGCGGTGACAGTGAACCAGGACGGTGACGTTGTGGTCCGGCTCTAAACGCTGAGCTGAGACTCGCTGTGAAGCTGCGTGAAGCCGAGAGGAGCTGCACAGTCAGCTGATCAGTCACTACCACATGCACCTGAGCTTTAAACACTGGTGTCACATTGTGTTATACACCCTTATTACTAAAACTCACATCATAGCTGCTTTATCTTCAACATAACAGAAAAGCAACCAGAGAAGTGAACCACCAAAGCAGAGAGCTACAAACAACAACTAAAGATAAAGACAACAGACAGAGGCTTTACTGAGATCCACAGAAACTGAATTTAAAAGACACCTGACATCAGCATGAATCCTAAGTTCAGAACAGACTGACCTCTGCTCTGAAAAATAACTGCTTGCAGTGCAGCAAAGTTCTGACTCATATGTGACAAAGTCTCAGTTCAGACACAAACAGCTCATTCTTTCCTCATTTTTGCCAGTGCTGCATTTAACTACCGTCAGAAATAGCACAACTGCAGTACAAGACTCTTTCACATTGACTAACACCTGAGAGAGAGGCCGCAGTTATTTGGAACAATCACAAAACAATGTTTTATGTCTCTGATTCACTACTTCATTCTTGCTAAGACTGCTCACTCTCTTCATTCACACCCTACCTCGCTCGGGACTTGGGAATGGATTCAGGACGGGCAGTGAAATTTGTTAGGTATAAGCAAACTGATTCTGGATTAGCATTGGTTGGATTTGTGTAATTATGTGTGTGTTGATGTCATTGTTCTGCATGTTTGAAAGAATAAATCAAATCAAATCAAAAAAAACTCTTAACTAAAGTGCATGGACTCACTGGATGAGTTGTCGTAGAGTGACACGGACTCGTCCTCACTGCTGTTGTAGTTGCCAAACAGAGCCTTGTAGTTGCTGTCTTCGTACCAGTTAAGGGATTTGATCTGCAGACCGCCACCTTCAGGGTGACCGCACACGATCCTGGAGACTGCCTGGTACATGGTGCTGGGCGATGATGTGGCATTCTGCGTCAGGAAGATGATCTCGTTCCTCAGGTTGATCCAGCTCTTCATACTGGCCAACTGGAGACACAGAGGGGACTGGTCAGAGGCACTAGCAGCTCCACAGTACATGCTTAAAGTGCCTTATATTTTGTGTTACTTATTTATCTACTTTATATTTCATTTGTATTTTGTGGCATTCATGTGGACGGCAAAGTAATAATTTCACTGTACAGGGAAACACGTTTCCTAACTGTGTATATGACAAATAAACACTTTGACCTTTGAATCTAGCAGAAACAAGTCATGAACACAACTCGGACTGAAGTTGACATGTAGAACTTGTAATCGAACAGTTTCTTCTTCCCACGTCCAGCGGTCACAACATGCTCCTCCATGTGCAGTGTGTCTGTGTCCCCCTGGTGAACCCCAGTGCGCCCTCTCTGTTGGCTCTGGGTTTGGTCTCCACCACCACCTCTGGCTGTGGAGCTGCTAACTGCTGCACTGTGTTCACCAGCTGGTCTCTGACCGTTTGCTGTCGGCAGGTCGTGGACAACGGCTATTTAGAGTGTCTGCTCTGAGAACAGCTGCTTCCTGCTGCGGCCCTGGGCCGCACTGTGAGAGCGGTGACAGTGAACCAGGACGGTGACGTTGTGGTCCGGCTCTAAACGCTGAGCTGAGACTCGCTGTGAAGCTGCGTGAAGCCGAGAGGAGCTGCACAGTCAGCTGATCAGTCACTACCACATGCACCTGAGCTTTAAACACTGGTGTCACATTGTGTTATACACCCTTATTACTAAAACTCACATCATAGCTGCTTTATCTTCAACATAACAGAAAAGCAACCAGAGAAGTGAACCACCAAAGCAGAGAGCTACAAACAACAACTAAAGATAAAGACAACAGACAGAGGCTTTACTGAGATCCACAGAAACTGAATTTAAAAGACACCTGACATCAGCATGAATCCTAAGTTCAGAACAGACTGACCTCTGCTCTGAAAAATAACTGCTTGCAGTGCAGCAAAGTTCTGACTCATATGTGACAAAGTCTCAGTTCAGACACAAACAGCTCATTCTTTCCTCATTTTTGCCAGTGCTGCATTTAACTACCGTCAGAAATAGCACAACTGCAGTACAAGACTCTTTCACATTGACTAACACCTGAGAGAGAGGCCGCAGTTATTTGGAAAAATCACAAAACAATGTTTTATGTCTCTGATTCACTACTTCATTCTTGCTAAGACTGCTCACTCTCTTCATTCACACCCTACCTCGCTCGGGACTTGGGAATGGATTCAGGACGGGCAGTGAAATTTGTCTCTGTACGCCCCCTGGTCATACGGTATGCTGAATCGTGCCCAGGCACGGCACCGAGCGATCACAGAAGTCACACAAACTAGACTTTGGGGCCAAACGTGCTCATGCATGGTATGGATTGCCTTGTGCAAGTCCAAAACTCATCAAATCAGTTATGGGGCCAAAAGCCTTGACAGGATATTGTGACTCTGTGCTACTGTTGTGTCATGAGCTTCATAACTGACACCTTCACTGACACTTTAATAACATGGATTTTCAAACAAAGGAGAAGGCATCAGTGTTTTCTGTGGAAAATCCTCTTTTTATGGCATTTCCTCACAAAAATAAAATATAGACCATATATTAAAAAGTGGATTTTCTACAATATTTCTCTCACAGACCTGAGATCGACACATAGAACTACTATATAATACTACTCGTGCTATAATCCGTCATATCTTTTGACTGCAACTCCCACCAAACATCTTCATTTTCAAACAGTTGTGATTATCTGATGCATATTAGAGCTTATTATCTGTTTGTTTAATGCTTCCTTATTTGAAGTAGATCAGAGACTTGGTGAGACCTGAGGTGGAACACCTGCTGCTCTGTAACTGAAAAGGTTAAAAGGGCATGTTTAGTAGTAAAATGTGCACAAGACTCAAAAATTCAAACATCTGGCCACATGAAAATCTTGTATCTCCAGTCGGGTCGATGCTCTGATCAAGAAGAAAAGCCAAGCGGATGTCTGGCAGATATAGAACTGTTTTCATCTTAATGTAACGTATGCAGGGAGATGCAGCGGTCAGACACGTGGTGCAGGAACAGAGACGCAACAGGGATCACACAGTGCTTTCTTGTTTCCTGCAGGAAGCTCAGAGAGGAAGGGCTGGGGGTTACTGCAGGTCAAGACTTAAAACAGTCACTGTTCAATGTGAGAGAAAGGATCTATTTAAAGGACCAGGCCACAGTTTTTTCCTGCACATTTCACACAGATTCACACTTCTGCTGCCTGTGTTTAAATGCAGTACTATTCTACTATTGTAGATGTTTTAGTTTCATCATTTAGGACCGAAAACCTAAGAATTAAGACAGACATTGTCTACTCCCTGGCTTTTTTTAATAATGCTTCCCCAGTCTGTCCCTGTTGGACTCAGTCAGCAGATCAGTCAGTAAGGGATTACCTGCAGGCCAGGCCTTTGTAATGAAGAACAACTGCACTGCTGCTTGTTGCAGTGTGAATCCTGCATCTTACATGTGGCCATGACACTGTGGCAGAGGAAAGTAGGCCAGAAGTTCCTGGAAATGTTGGCAGGTCGTTTTCCTCTGGCTAACAGGAGAGGGCAGTGACAGTGACAATTTTAAATAAAGTTTGATTCAAACCGTCAGCTCAGGACAGGAACAGAAACACAACATTTGGGATGTCTCCATCAGAGGAACCTACCGAAACGCGGTGAGCTGAGTAATGCTTGTCACAGGATCTGCATTTGTTTCCGCTGCCCTCCTCCCACTTCGGAGCTGCTAAAGGGCTTTATGTTGCAAACAAAGCCTGGGTTAAACTGTCAACATGTGACTGCTATGCTGTGTTTGGTTTATGTGGATGCTGAGTCAGGGACAGCAGTGTGTTGAAGTGTGCAATAAGGTCGGCGTGAAAACAACAGACGGGTCAGTCTCACTGAACTTTACTCTGATTATCAAACCATCCTCAGCAAGAACAGCTTCAGCCTCCAGCCAGTTTACACCCACTCTGCTTCCAGCCTGTGCCCAGTATGTCCCCAGTCTATCCCCAGTATGTCTCCTGTATTTGTCCCACATCTCAGAGCTGTGCAGAGCAGCTGAGCCGGTGACAGCTACAGTTCTGTTGTATGTCGTGTCACCACTATCACCATGTCTCTGAGTGCGTCTTTCAGAGTACTCAGTGCTATGAGCTCCAACAGCCAGCTGCAGTCCGTGGTGTCTCAGCGGGACACCGAGCAGGATGAAGACTGCCGCTAAGTCTTTGTTGTTAGTTCAGACTCATGTGTTGTCCTGCTCAGACTGTGAAGTGAAAACCTGCTGAGCAGTCTGGGTCTTTGTTCAGCTGCGAGCTCGACTGTCTCAGCTGCAAGAAAACAGCTTTTATCTGGACACAAAGACTCAGACGCTCAGAACTGCCAAGTAAACCCCCTGACCTTGGTCTGCTGCAAAGGAGGACTCACATTCTGCTGGGGGATGCATCTGTCCAACTCTGACTCTACTGTCAGATAAACTCTGACTCTGCTGGAGGACACCAGTTCATTTTATTTAGTTTTTGTCTTATCCCAGGGAAAAAGTCATCACCAGAAATAAAGTTACTTTTCACTGATCTGGACAAATATTTGACAGAATATGTTTGGTCACAGTGTTTGTTGACAAGCTGGCCCGCTTCTGCAGCTCAATGTTGTCAGTGGAATGAGGGTTTTACTGGTGCACAGACTCATTTACACAGCCGTTCCAGCTAAAAAGCAGGTCACATCACACCCTGCAGAGGACTGTGAGGTGCATTTCTCACCTCAACGGCCAAGGAACCCAGACTGTCCAGGAGGTTGCTGGTCGCCCTGGCCACCTGTCTGACAGCCTCGGGCTCAGACTCCATGTTCCCCTGAAAAAATTAAAAAAATACAAACTGGTTTTAGTTTCCAGCTTCACTTCAAAGCTGCAAATCTTCAACACGCAGTAAAAGTCAGAGTGAAACAACAAAGTAGCTGTTTAAGCCACATGATGACGATTACAGTGCTGTGGTCTCCTCTTCACTTAACCGTTTCTTAATCACTGTGTCAAAGTTAGTGTTAATCTCACTGTCATCTTTTGCCGCTTTCACAAAAAAAAAAAACTGACAAACTAAAAATAAGTAATATCCATAAAAATAGGAACATCAAGTCCCCACAAGTTCTAAAAAAAATTACTGGACACAGTCAGACCCTCTGAGCTGGTACTGGTGAGAAAACTAGAGACAAATAAACAGTTTCTGCAGCACAAACAAAAAGTCCAGAAAACAGCCAACCTTTCTGAATGAAGACAAACAGTGTTGTGTTATTTTATCACTGCGAGCACAATGAGTTTCAATGCAGCGGGGCGGTTTTCTTTCTCAGTTTTCCGAACTGATTCGGTTTAGTTCAACACTGTCTTCTGTCTGGTGATTTTATTAGTCATCAGCAAATAAACACTGAAAACATTCTGTTCTCAACAGCTGAACGCTTGTGTGAAACTGAAGCATCTTCTCTGAAACATTTCTGCATGTGCTGCTGTGGAAACTCGTGGTTCAGACAGAAGCGCTTTGTTACTTTCAGGTTCACACAGTCAATTGGAGCTCGTAGATTCCTGCAGACAAAAGAAGCTGAGGCCTGGCTGACGAGCAGCTCACTTTCAAACCGCCAAAGCCTTTAAACCGGTCTCCAGGCTACGAAAACTGAGACTGTAAAGAGCAGAGACGGGCTGAGACATGCTTCCTCCCACACACATAAGACACTGAGTACACACACACACAGTGCTAGTACACACCTTCACTTTGTGCCACCTGAACAGTGTGAGCCAGGTGAACACGCCCTGAGCACTGTTGGCTCAGGACTCAGTCTGTTTCAGGAAGGTAAACCAAAACCCTAAATCTCTGTCCAGATGTTTAGCACAGTCAAGACTCCCGTTTGTATCTGTTTTGGTTTGTTGCTTGTGCCCTGGGAGAGACCTTCAGTGACTGATGTAACCCTCCCTACCCAGGGGGTCCCAGCAGTGGGACCAGACTGGATCTGCTATTAAAACGTGACCTCAAGGTGGCTGCACGTGGCACATGTGGCTTCTCAAAGCTCCTGATAGGGCTAAAATCACTTATACCGCATCAGACTGAGGAGAGCTGCAGCTCAGCAGCATCAGTGTCACTGACTACTTATTGTAAGGCTGGTGTCACACTCTTCTTTAGAGACTGGCTTAGGTGGAAGAATGTTTCTCAGATCTCACTCCGGCCTGGTGATGGGAACAGGGACACTGACTGGGTTTCTAAATTCTCCCACATGGCACTGGGTTATTCATTTAACACCACCCAGACGGTTTCCAGTGAGGTCACATACAACCATCAGGATCAAGCGACATATGAATAAAATGGTTGTGGTCTTTTCTGAACTTTCTCTGAAGGTTGCTTATTCAATCCTGAATACTGAAGTACATTTGAAACCAAGTTGTCGTGAGCTTTCAGTGCAGCACTCAGTGGTAGATGTCTGTTAGCAGTCAGTCAGAAGGTGCCATCTGCAGTCGCAAACAAACATCATGAGCTCATTTTCAGTTTTTACACTATTCCACTGACGCATGTGTGGAGCTAATAGGGGGTGAACTGTGTTTGACTATGCACACAAATCACAAGGAGCTCACTTATTTTGTCAGAGACAGATGAAACTGACTGGACTGAGTTAATGAAGTCCAGATGTGACATCATGACTCTGAGAGGACAACCTGCAGACAATAATCAGGGCAGCCACATTTTCATCTGCACATTTCTCTGGTTTTTAATAAATAAATAAATAAATAAATAAATAAACCACCTGTGTGTCTGAGATGCTACAAAGTACCAAAAAGACAGAAAGGAAGAAGACCAGTTACCAAAAACAAGTACGGAAGCAATTCTGGATTTAAAAGTATTTTTTCAAAAATCATCATTGCAAATGTTTGATGTAGAAAGAAACTCATTTCTAGTGACAGTCTCTGAGCAAAGGGCAGATTTAGGACATTATGACTAATGATTCAGGTCTGTCTCACAGGGCATCATGGACCCGTCAGCAGGTGTGTTTTTACCTGGATGGGTTTCAGGAAGTCCAGGTTTTCCAGGAAGTGCTCCTCAGCGTGATTCAGCCAGGTAGGTGGTGCCTGACAGATGACTTCCTGTACCAGTGTTGACACCTGTCGGTCCGAGATCATCACAAAGTCCTCCAGGCTCTGCACGCCGCCCTCCCTGGGACACAAGTCCCTCAGGTGGACCCCAAAACCTCTGAGGAGGACCTGAGATACAAGTCAGAAGGTAAACCCATACGGTTTCTTTATTTAAGATCCTCAAACTTTTGTCAAATATATTGAAAATTTCAATCAGTCTTTTATTCAAAATGATCAATTTCATTCAAAGCTCCATTTGCTATTCCACTTCTCTCTGACCTGTTCCTTATTTTCTGAGTTCAGTTCCCTGCTCCCATAATCAATTTTATTCCACTTGATCGTTCCCATCTTTTCATGAGTACAACCCAACTTTAATTTCCTCCTGTTCAGACTGAGCGTGTATGGCGCGTTCTCCTCACCTTCTCCAGGTTGACGTCGGCCTCTCGGATTTGGTGGACGCTGTGTTTGGGGAAGGAGGCGTTTCTCAGCAGAAAGCTCGACAGAGTCTCATTGTCTCGCAGGAAATGCTTCAGCTTGAAGCCTGTGGGAGAAAACAGAAACAGGAGGTCAGTGTGTCCTCAGAGAAAACTGACACGCCCTCCACCTCCTGTACAAACCAGAACATGTTTACCTGCTCGTCCCTGCCACACAAATTTCAACATCCCCTGCCATCATTTCCACTGAAGATGGGGTTGTGCTCCCTCATTTCTCAGACTCACACTTTAGTCCTCCATTTCCAGGCTGGCAACAGTGTCATCAAGTGTTGACTGTAATGATGTATCACAAGCAGCCATTTTTACCCTGGGTTTTGCCTGTCAGGATACATGGAGGCTACTACTCTCCCATCGCTGTAGTCACTCTCCTCCATGTTTAAACTTCAGATCCACCATGACACCTAGAAAGGTAAACTGTCTTTATAACTCTGAGCTATGCAGAACTAGACAGGCCACCTCTCTAATATCATTAATGGAAGTATCAATAACACTCAAACCTTATTCCCCACTGTTGACAGGTTAACAAATCCCCCATTGCAGCTGCCCCTAAAGCTCCTCACGGCAGAAAAAATGTAACAAGTTTGCACAATTTTTTCATCAAAAACTGAAAATATCTGATAAAGTATTAGATTGACTCAGTCAAGCAGAGAATACAACCTCATCACCATCTACGAAACAAAGTTAACAACACTAGATGGCACCGCATCTTAAAACGTCTACCTGCTCAGTTATTCTAGCTTTAAGCTTTTTAAAGTGTTTTCGGCTCCTTGGCAGTGGATTTGTTGTATATTTTCAATGATTCACTCCTATCAGGCATCTTTCCAGCATCATTAAAAACTGCAGCTATAAGGCTCCTCCTGAAAAAGAGAAACCTGGACACGTCAGCATTAAGTAACTACAGGCCCATCTCAAATCTTCCCTTCATAAGTAGGATTATTGAGAAAGTAGTTTTTAACCAAATCAAGCACTTCCTGCAAAGAAATGAAATCCTGGATAGATTTCAGTCAGGTTTCTGGTTGTATGATAGCACTGAACCTGCTCCCATAAAGACTTGAAATGACATTTGCTTGAATAACAACTCAGGGAACTTAACAGTCTTGATGCTATTAGATCTTAATGCAGCATTTGACACTTCTAGAAGACAGGGGATATGTAGTCATTATCGGTAATAGTGAATCTCAAAGAACCACCATGAAATACGGTGTCCCACAAGAACCAATTCTTGGACCCTTCCTATTCAATCTGTACATGCTCCACTTTTTCTAATTTTCCAGGAGTGTAGTTTTGCTTATAACAGCTATGCAGACGACACCCAGATATATTTAAGGCTCTCACTGAACGACTGTGGTCCTATAGACTTTTTGTCTCAAAAAAAGGGAACAACTGGATGCAACATTTCTTTCAACTAAACAAAGACAAAACAAAGAGAATTATTTTTGGAAATAAAAAAAGAAGGTAAATGGTCTTAAATGGTCTTAAACTTGTATAGCACCTTTCTATGCTTTTACAGCACAATCAAAGCGCTTTCACACTATTTGGCCATTCACCCATTCGCACTCCCAAACACACACATTCACACACCGGTGACACCACCGGGAGCAACTGGGGGTACAGTGTCTTGCTCAAGGACACTTTGACATGTTGACTGGACAAGCCAGGAATCTAACTGCTAATCCTCCGGTTAGGAAACGACCCACTCTACTTCCTGAGCCACAGCCGCCCCCCAGGCTGGTGGGTCAGTGACTACCTCAAGTCCAAGACAATGGTTGTTATTATTTTACTAAGATTATTAAATGTTTATTGTCATATGCACAGTGGGGAAACGTGTTTCCTTGTACAATGAAATTCTTACTTTGCTTACTTCTGTGTCTAGTAGAGTACACTACTGTAACACACTATTGATTGTCCTTCCCAGTAAGACGATAAGACAAATGCAACTCATTCAAAAAGCTGGGCCAGAATACTGAGGAGCAAATGGTGGCCCAAATCTGATCTGAGAACATCTGGTTTGTGTGGAAACACCAGGTCTGAGGCACTGTGAAAGAAACCTCAGCTGGGATGTGAACGCAGCTTAACAGACAACAGTTATTCAGTTTTTCCTTGGGACCACCTGAACCAAAATTCAGGTGAGACAGACACCTGAGACTCCTGGGACTTTCAACAGGAAGTGCTGACCATATTTGGCATGCCAATGTGATAAGTATAACAGGTGAGGTTTCTTCAGTGAAGTTGTACATAGGTCTAGACCTGTCTTCTGCTCATTCCCAACATGCCGCAGTGAGATCTGCTGATTTCCCCCTACACACTCACCAGCCTGTTGTCACAGGCCTGGAGGCTGAGGTGGAGCTCAAAGGAAACACGCATCACGCCACATATTTATCACATCATCACACCACACCACATGGGCAAAGACCCTGCGCACACGCCCGCCACAGTCTCTTCTTCTTCTACAGGTCTGAACAAGCAGCTGCAACAAAGAAACTTCTACACACTGATGATCTCAGAAACACGCCACGTGTTCAGTTCAACACGGTTACATCAAACAGGAAGCTTGTTACCCTTCTGTCAGTGACTGATTAAAGGACAGTTTCACTGTATGAAAAGCAGGTCTGTGCTGGTCTTTATGTCCTCCAGATCATAACCTTCTGTTTGCAAATCTGAGTCATCCAAGCTGTGGAGACATGGGGCAGCGGTGGCCTAGAGGTCAGAGAAGTGAGGTTGTGACCAGAGGGTCACCAGTTAGTCCCTGGAACAGCAAGATTAAATCTGGGTGGGACAGGTGACATAGCATTGCTCACCCCACCCTCAGTGACACCACTGTGGTGCCCCTGAGCAAGGCCCTCAACCCTAACTGCTCCAGTGGAGCTGCTCAGTGGCCACAGGTCAGTCTGTGGTAGTACTGGGCTGCTTCCAGCCACGGGTCAGTCTGGTTGTACTGGTTAGCTTCCAGGTATGAATGTGTCCATGAAAACGAGAGGTGGCCTCTCAGTGGACCTGCCCTGAATAAATAAAGCTTTTAAAGAAAGACAGGAAGCCTCAGAGAATTGAAGACATTTAACTGTGTCAGTGGTGGAAAGCAAGTCCATTTACTGAAATACTGTGCTTAAGTACAGCACAGTTTTACTTGGCTGGTTCCATGTTCTGCTACTTCATACTTGGACTTCACTCCATGAGACAAACCTTGTACTTCTTACTGTACTACATGTATGTGATAAGTTTAGTTCCCTTTCAGAATCGGAGGAATCAAACAAAACACAGTAGAATCCATCCTTCATCTCTACCGCTTATCCTAAACATGGTTGGGGGGAGCTGGAGCCAATCCCAGCTGACATCGGGTAAGAGGCGGACCACCCTGGATAGGTCGCCAGTCACAGGGCTGACACTTAGACAGACAACTACACACTCCTATGGGTGGAGCCGGAGTACCCGGAGAAAACCCACACAGGCACAAGGAGAACATGCAAAGTCCACACAGAAAGGCTGGGGCTCGAACAAAGAACCTTCTTGCTGTGAGGTGACAGCGCTAGCCACTGTTCCACCATGCTACCCCACAGTAGAACCAGCAGACTCTATTGATCCCAGTAGGAAATCCACCAGCTACCCAGTAGGATGGAAAGTACTTCCCAGTATAAGTATATAAGGTAGTTACCATCAGCTCCACCTTTACCAGCTGCAGCATTAAAGTGATGGACACAGTAATTAGTCACTATGATCCAGTATCAGACGTTACTGGGACACGGACCGTTCTGCAGGACGAGTACTGGTACTGCTGGTACAGTTGTTTTCAGTGATTCTATGGTTCGATTTCCCACCAGTAGCAGCTCTGCTGTCACTGCAGCCACATCACCTTCTCAGACTGAGCTCCATGTTGCAGGTTGGAGGAAATGGACCGGGCTCATAAACAGACTCAGTCTAACTCACGGTTTTAGTAACTCGGGGATTAAATGTCTGCTGGGCTCACATGCACTGAAACATGCAAATGCATTAACGAATCCTCAGACATCTGCCTGAAACCAAACAGCTCCTTCACCCAAACCCAGTAAAAGCCTGAGTGTTTATACAGAAACTGAGCATGCCACACAGATGGAGCTGCTCAGTGTCCATGTTCTGACTCAATCTGCTGCTTCATCACATCAAACCGATCCTCTGGCTGAACAGCAATATGAAAGGTACTGGATCCAGTGTGACCCAGAGAGATTCAGTGTTCTGTCATGTATGACAAAGAAAAATGGTAAACTTTGACCACCGAGAACCTGAGATCTAGTTTTGATCAATAACTGAAACTATTAATCAGTTATCTAATCAGATGTCAGTTTTCTATTCATCAGCTAATTCTTTCAGCTCCCCACCAACACACTCAGTGTTAAATATTAAATGTCCACACTGGAGCAACAACAGACACATCGTCGTCCTCCTTCAGCTAAATGAATGCATCACCAGCTGGCGGACAGGTGGAGCATTAGGACAAACATGGCTGTGTGTCCCGTCAGCGTCCGCAGGCTGCAGCTTTACTACAACCACACTGAATCCCTCCCTGTCTTGGTGTTGGTCCCCTGTTCACAGAGCCGGGTTTGGACACCAGCTTCATGTTTCATTGTGGATGGGAACTTTATAAAGACAGCGTCATCGAATCTGTGCGTGAACGCTAACAACAACTTCCTGTCTCCTGTAACCTTCTCTGACCTGTGAGGAGCTGCCATGTTGGTACAGGGAAGCCTCTTGCTGCACAGGCGTGCGTGAAGGCAGGAGCTCTGTGCACAAGTATAATCACCATAACTGAATTTACAGCCGTTTCCCCAGTAGCTTAGTGTGTTCTGAATGTAGAAAGGCGTTAATGGTACAGGAGACGAGGCTACATTAAAATATAGATTTTCATACCACAACACTTATCTTGTGTAGACAGTCACTGTGATATTCTTATAATATTTAAGATGAATTTATTCTTTGTAATGCGTTTTTCAGTTCATTGTTTTCTCTTACTGCAGTGTAAAACAGCTGCCATGACATCATGCTGGAAATAAATATAGACTTCAGTGATAATTGACACAGAAGTAAATTGTTTTGTCTTTTTTTCCATTAAACATCAAGCAGCAGCACAAACTCTTGTGTTTTCTACAGTCTGGACTGAGCCCTGCTGCAATATGTCCTCTATGTGTTCATATCCGTGCCTCTGTGACTGATCAGATTAAAGATTGATCACGCAGTACAGCTGCTGTCACTGGCCTGGAGTTATGATCAGAATACACTTCACCTGGTGACTGGGTTTTGTTTGTTCGTCTGATGAGGATCTGAGGCTGTGACAGAAGAGCAGCACAGACGGCTGAAGCACACAGGAAACACCATCCATCCGCACTGAACACCCCCCAGGTGTCTTCAGATACCCTCAATAAGTTCCTCAGATCAGTGTCATTTTTCAGGTGACAAGACCAAATACCTGCCTCTTTGTCACGTGACACTAAACTGTCCAATCAAACAAGCTGTGGGAAACCAGTGATTGAGTCATCAATCCAGAAAATAGTCTGCTGAACAATCAACAGTGAAAAGAACTGCGCCGATGGCTTCATGTGAATCTGTTGCCCTGGGTAAAGACCCTGAAGTGAACTGGTCCAGGTTCAGATATGATCCGGTCTCAGACCTCGTGTGTTTGTCCAGCTGCACAGTGTCTGAACTCAGCAACACTCAGCACGACGCTGCCGATCTAAGTGCAGGAAACTCAACATGACAGGACGACGTGAACAGAGAGGCGACATACTGACCCTCACCTGTGGGGTGGGGCCAGGAGGCCTCCTGGAATCTGACTGGCCTCTGCTGCACCCCCCATCCAAAGTAGGGAGGTGAGGATGTTTAGCTTGTTAATATCAGAATTTCAACATCGTACATGTCTGGGGGGGCATTGCTGTAGGAGGCTGGGGGCAGGGGCCACTTGTCTGGTAACAGCCCAAGGTTTAGGGTATCTGCAGTTACAGACTATATTGCACATGAGAAGACAGAGCTGCTCATATGGTGCATTTTTATGCCACATTAGTCCAGTCCTTAGAGCTTTGCACTGGCTCCCAGTTAAATACAGAATTCAGTGTAAGGCCCTACTTACTGTCTCCAAGTCTCAATGTTCCAAAATACATCAGAGACCTGTTTGCTGAAGCCTGGAAGGTGTCTCAGATCTGCAGGGACTGGTCAGCTGGTGGTGCCCAGAGCGCCAACTAGACAAGGTGAAAGTGCTTTTAGCTGTGATGCTGCCCACAGCTGGAACCAGCTCCCAGAGGAACTGAGTTCTGCCCCAAATGGAGCCACTTTTAAAACTAAGATGTTACTTTAATCAGTTTTTCTTAATTTCAGCTAATTTTGCACTTTATCTGCTTCTATTTTTCATCCATTACTCAGTAACCAGCTGACTTCACCGTTTGTGACTGTGCAGACACTGGTGTTTCAAAGTCCCATCTATCCATCTGTGTGCATTGTGTTAAGCACTTTGAATTGCCTTTCTGTATGAAACAGGCTATATAAATAAACTTGCCTTGCCTTTATGACACTGAATAAACTAATAAGGACAACAAGGATGACATATAGCTTATTACTGAAAAAACAGGACCTGCTCAAACCTAATGCTTCTTCTGAGCCAGCCCTCTCTAGCTGCTCTGCACCCAGGTGAGGTCACCTGAGAACATTCAAACAGGTAAACCTGCCGTGGCTCGTCTCCCTGCCCCCGCTCACACCACACAGCTCGTTCTCACGAATGTCAGTTTGCGTGATCAGAGGTGATCTGAGGAATAAAGAGCAGAAAAGTGCTGTTCTCCTTCAGAGGGAGGCGGGCTGCATGTCAGAGCAGGTAGAGAGAAGAAACGCCCCCCACAGTGAGACTAAAATGCAAATGAACACACAGAGGAGCAAAGTTCTTTTGGTTTAATAAGCCTGAAAAACTCCAACCAGAGGAGGGACAATGCTGAGCTCTAAACACCTCAGCAGAGATGAATGGCTTAAAAAATCTGCCGTTCATTTTAATCTCACCTCACACACAGACTCAGACTGAAGCAGAGAAGATTCAACAGTCTGCTATGTGATTGTAAGGTTCCTCTAATGATGATGTTTAGCACCAGCTCCTGCAACCCTTCTGTCCTGATGATGGGATTACACCTGAATCTAATGAGATCTTTGATTATGAACCATCGCAAAGAGATGCTACACAACCACAAACAGATGTAAATCTAAAAAAGACATGATGGCTTCCACATCAATATAATATCCTACCATACAGCCTCTGAGGATCTCTGTGTATTTCTCATCTGCAGTGTCACTGCAGTCAAACTTTGTGGAGTCAAACTCACAACATCACCACTCACCTTCTAAATGTGATGAAGCGCCGACACTGACGAGGTGAATGCACCCAGACTCAAAGAGGGCTCAGTGCTGGCTGGGTCCAGCTGGACTGAAACACTGACCCTGCGTTCTGACTATTTCTCAGTCTCCTACCTGACTGGCTGTTTTGCAGCCCCTGCAGAGCCTGGGCCAGCTCCTTGAATCCATCCAGGTTTTTATCATTCTGACTGTAGAGAAGAATCTTCTTGGCGTCCGAAAACAGACGAGAAATTCTGCAGAAACAAAATTTTGTTAAACATGACAGAGTCGCTGCTGAGAGTGTGACACAAGTTGAAGACAAGCACCGACTGAGAAGAGGTGCTCTGCAGGTGTAATAAAGCATAAACAGAATAAATGTTGCTTCTATGTGGGATGTTGAATGAGCGTAATGGAAGTGGACGCATTTATAGCGGCTGAAGTGTCAGTGAGGCTAAATTTGCATCAGTCTGAGTGTTTTCATCAAAAAACAAATTTGTAAATGAATGTGTCAGGTCGCAGAGGGACCATTCTTCAGAATAAAAGCATGGTCTCACATGGAGTCGTTGAAGTTGCCAGCGACGCCTGGAGACTCGCCTGGCGTCGGGTTTCTGAAGCAGGGGTTGTTGGCATTGCAGAGGATTCCCTGAATCCAGGGCAGTGTGCCGGCCGATGGCATCGCCTTGTTGGGAAAATGACCTGTAGATGGAAAACAAACAGGAAGTGGCTATGTTGGAAAATCTTCAGTAAAGTAAAAGTATGGCCAACACAACAGAAACATTGCCCAGCACAAGTAAAACCTGATCAATTAAAAACACATTATTCTGTTCTTATACTACAGTTCCCATCAGGCTTTGACTGCACTCAAGGCTGTTTTACACTTTGTCTTTATAAAACGTATCAGACAATATTTTCTGGATACACAGATGTGCGGTAAAAACACAGATCACACCCTGGTCGAAAAATTAGAAAGTACTGGGATAACGTGTGGGCAGGCTAGGTTCTCAATCAATTACCCAATCATGTTGATGGCTTCTAACAAAGTACCTTCTAACCCTAACCTTTACCAATGCCAACATATGAGATTCAGACTGACAACAAGATGTATGTCTCAGCAGCTTCGTCAGATTTAATCTGAAACAGGACGTTTCTTCTTTATCTTTCCGCTGCGTTGGAACAAACGTCCGTACGTTCACCTGGTCTCAGGCAGGTAGATAACCTGCGACTTGGTTATTATCACCTGCAGCGGAGCATCAGCCGCTGCAGATTTTCAACCTTTAACCCCACCCCAGCAGCAGCGGCTCCAGCCCCCGTCAACTGTATGTTGATGAAGCTATCAGGACCTTTAGGACTGCCAACGGGCCTCTTTCTAATCAGCTCAGATAAGATAAGAGGCTAATCCCAGAGGTGTTCCAGGTCAGAACAACAACCTGGAACCATCAGTCCATCAATAAGTCAATCAACACAAAACTCACCAACAGCTGTAATAATCAATGAGTCACTAACGCCATTGATAAAGTAACGTTATCTTTTTTCTCTTGTTTTCAAGATGTGTGTGTGGTGTTTGTTCTTATGGTGTTTTGTTGCTGCTCTCTATTTCTGCTGGAACATGGGATCAATAAAGTCCTACCTACCTACCTTGTTTTCTATCGCAGTAAAGTACAGATCGCTGTCTTGGACCAAACAAGACATGCCCTTGGACATGAAAAAAAGTTTAATCTCAACACATTCCAACAAAGGTTGGGACAGTGAAGTGTTCACCACAGTGTGATGCTGCCGTTCCTCTTCACGACACTTAAAAGACATTTAGGGACTGAGGACACCAAGTGAGTCAGTGTGTCAGGTGTCATTTTGTCCAATTCTTCCTGCAAACAAGTCTTAAGGTGTCCAACAGTCCTGGGGTTTCTTTGACACAATTTCCATTTCAAAATGCACCACACATTCTCTAGCGGGGATGGGTCGGGACTGCAGGCGTATCCTTTTCCTCCACAGCCAGGCCTTGGTAATGTGGCACTATGAGGTTTGCATTGTCTTGTTGAAATCTGGATAAGGATAAGGATAATCACCTTTATTGGCCAAGTATGTTACACACAAGGAATTTGTTTCCAGTACAGAACTGATGGCAGCCATCTGTGGCGTTAAATCTGCATGGGCATCCCTGGAAAAGATGTCATCTTGAAGGCAGCATGTGTTGCTCCAACATCTCTCTGTAGGTTTCAGCATTAGTGGAGCCATCAGAGAAGTGGAAGTGACCTTTGTCCAGGGCGCTGACACGACCCCAGACCATGACAGACCCTCTTGTTGCTGCTAACAGTCTGGATGGTGCTTTTTGGTCTTTGGTCCGGAGCACACGGCGTCCATTCCTTCCAAAAATACCTGAAACGCTGATTGGTCTGACCAAAGTCCACATTTCCACCATGTGACGGTCCCTCCCACACGCTTCTGAGCACAGAGCAGTTGACTTCTGGACACTGTTGACATAGGGCTTCCTTTTGGGGCAGTACAGATTTAAGCAGCATTTATGGATGTAACTACGTATTGTAGTGGCTGACACGGGTGAGCCAGTCATCCTGAGCCCATGTGGTTATATCGCTGATAGAAGAGTGACGATTCTTGATGCGGTGCCGTCTGAGGGATTGGAGAGCTCGGTCATCCAGCTCAGGCTCGGCCCTCGGCCTTTATGCACTGAAATCCCACCCGACTCCTTGAATCTTTTAATGATGTTCTGCACCGTAGAGGGCGACAGATCCAAATTGCTTCCTATTTTTCTTTGAGGAACATTGTTTTTAATCATTTCAATGATATCCTCACACATATGTTGGCCAACTGGCGGTCCTCGGCCCATCTTTGCTCCCAAAGGGCTCTGTGTTGCAGCATCAGCATTGAAGTGATAGTTTATTATGAACAAAGAATAAAGTTGATGAGGTGTCACATCAAACAATGTGCTGCTGTTTTGTTTTCAGGACACAGATGATTTATACATCACTGTTTTTCAGTTTTAATTTTGATTTTACATACAGTCCCAACTTCTTCTGATTTCAGGTTTTATTCTAAATATATCAAGAACAGTTTGAACAGACACGCCGCTGCTGTGTAAAACTGGTTCTTAAAGTATCAGCTGTAAATCTCCCAGCTCATCTCTGATCCGCAGGAACTTTCTCGCAGCTCCTCAGAGTCCTGACAGGTTCCATCATGCTGACATGCTGCTTGGATCAGAGCAGAAATATTCGTCCAATAGCGACTGCAGCAGAACTAAAAGCTTCATGTCGTCAGAGCTTCTGCTTTCAGAGGAAAACAGGAAGACACGCAACTTCCTGCAGCAAACTTGAGATTAGTAACCTCATTCCTTACTCCTGAGCTCAGCGTAACTCTGGCAGAGACAGGCACCAGACAATCAGAGGTTAAACACAATGAATGAGGAGCCTAGTGTTTACTCATGCATTTCCAGTCAGTCTAGTTTTATTCCTGCAGTGAATAACATGGCCTGAAGCTCCGCATTTTCATCTGTAATACTATAGTGTAAAAATACTCTGTTACAAGTAAAAGTCCTGCATTCAAAATGTTACTGAAGTAAAAATACAAGAGTATTAGCATCAAAATATTATTGAAGTACCAAAATTAAAAGGTACATACTTCAGGGTAGCTGGTGAATTTCCCACTGGGGACCAGTAAAGTCTCACATTTCTACTGTGTTTTGTTTGATTAATCTGAAAGAAACTAAAGTTATCAAATGCATATAGTGCAGTAACAAGTCCATGTAGTGAAGTCCAGTATGAAGTAGCAGGAAATGGAAATACTCAAGTAAAACACAAGTAGCTCAAACATGCTGACAATAAATATCAGAGCAGAGGGACTTTGTCCATGTAGGGACCTTCGTTCTGCGTCAGTTTGATGTTTTTCTGTCGGCCTGGTTTGAAACACACTTGAAATAATCGCTCAGACTTTTTAGGCCACACCGTTCATGAGTGAGACGATGAAATCCGTCCTATGTCTGTGCATGAAAACCAGACTATGTAACTCATGAAGACATGGTTAGCTTAGCTTAGCAGCTAGCCTGCACTGTGTCCACACAAACATGTCCAGTCGTGTTCAGCGTCTTCATGGATATTTCTGACACAAACAGCACGTCTTCCTTTAACGCGGTCCACGTTGACACTGCTGGGCCTGAGCTGAGCTGGTCCTGGACCTGGTCTGGGGAACACTTGTATAAGGCTGAGTCTTTCTAACCAAACATCTTTTCTCCCTCACTTCTTTTTGTTGTTTAGTGCTCCTCTGCCTCAGTCTACGCCATCAAAGTCCCTCTCGTTCATTTCTGGCCAAAGAGCTGGCTGCTCCCAGTCCTTTCAGCTGAATAACTGATGGATTGCTGCAGCACTACTACAGGAGCTGCTGGAGTTTTAGCTTCCTGTGCTCCATCTACGCGGTCATCTAAAGCAAATCAAAGACGTGATGCTGCTGATGAAGGAGCGGGAGAAAGCCAACCGCACACAGGTGTGTGCTGATGCGCAGACACACACTAAGATTTAACTCTTCAGCTGCAGCGTCAAATGCGTTCTTATGTAATTTTGACTTTATTCCTGTGACCTTCACCAGATTTGATGACAATACAGCCCAGAGATAAGGAGCCATAAACTGCTGTGATAAACATAAACCAGCCTCATTCAGCATGCAGACCTTTAATTTGAAATCCTGCAGCAGCCAGCTCTGTGCTTCCTCCACCACCATTATCAATCTATAACTTGTGATTATCAGCAATCAATTGAGTGCTCAGTGTCAAGATGACAGCAGATACCAGCTGTCCTCAAAAGTGCAAGGGTCTGAGTGCTGCTGATAACCAGGCGCAGCTCCCAGCATGCACCTGGCTGCTACACCTGAGACGACCCGCTCCACAGACCTGAGGCTGGAAATGCTGCAGGACGGTAATAGCTGATCAGTCTCAGGTTGTAGTCAGCACATGGCCAAAAGTATGTGGACTAAATGACCACTGATGTTCTGTTCATGTTCTGAACCGCAGTCAGTTCGATCTTACTGATCCAAATGTGAAAGCTACTGAGCAGCCAACAAAGCAGTTGAATGAAGGTTTGTTGAACTCACACTCATGTTGTTCATATGGAGGGTAGTTGAGCCGCACGCCGATGAGGATGAAGAAGATGAAGAGCGGCCAGACGATCTCCACCAGGAGCTGAAGCTGAGAGACACAAAGAGACAGTCAGGAGGTCCAGTAACACGCTCTCCGTGTGGTTTGACAACATCCTGACCCGCTCACTCAGTGAGTCTGTGTGTGAGGCCGGAAGCAGCTACGTGTCTTATTATTAGAATTATTCATATTTAATGATGACTATTGATTGATCAGCTGCAGACGCACAACAGCAGCAGAGACACAACCAGCACAGAAACATGCAACAAGAGACAGTCAGTTGCTAAAAACTGAACAAATACAATAAATTCACACGAGCCCTGATGAAGCAGCGAGGACAGTGGACGGAGAACTGATCAATACACAGAGATTACAGATCAGAACACACTGGTGCTGATCAAACAGAGAGAGAGAGAGAGAGAGAGAGATGTGAGCTGCTGGGTAGTGAGCCTCCACTGCAAACTGAGCTAAACTCGGTTTAGCACAAACTGCTCCACGAATATGTAAAACCAAAGAAATGAGAGACACTTGTGCTTCATGAGACAGAGAGCTGCTGATGATTGGTGCACTTTGTGGAGGTCGATCAGAGACGAAAAGATGGGATTCCACAGCTGGAAGAAGAACGGAGTTCACACAGAGACAGTCCGACTATCACGACAAAGGATGGATGAGATTACATCGCACACAGAGTCGGTCAGATAGAGCTTAAGACAAAAACGATGATATAGTACATGAATATTAGACTGAATCATAAAGTTACAGTGATTTGTTGGTTTAGACACCAGGCTGCACAACCAACATAAAAAGAGAGAGATGATATTATTCACAGATACCAAGCAGAAAAGAAGAATATCTGATTATTGATTGAGTGATGACAAACTACGACATTAGATAGAATCCTAAATTTAGGATATTATTTATCAGTTTACTTTGTTTTGTAAAATTTGCGATCCCTGATGGACTAGTGGCTAGGATTCAGCGCTCTCGCTGCTGCAGCCCAGGTTCGAGTCAGCGCTGCGTCAGGAAGAGCATCCGGCGTAAAACACGTGCCGAATGTCAACATGTGGCGACCCCTAACGGGAACAGCCGAAAGCAACATTCACTTTGTTTTGTAAAATTCATCATAGAAAATTATGAAGTTCAAATTTAGAAAGGAAAAATGATGAAATGATTAGTCCAATCAATTGATCTGTGTATTGGCAGAAAATTGATCTTTTGTGAAATTTCGCATTAAAACATTTGTGCACCTGCTGTCACTTTTCTGTTTCTGTCACAATAAAAACTTTTCCACCAGATGCTTATTAATTCATATCCATGAAAGAACTGGTAATGGCAACGAGCATCTGCTGCATCTTTTCAGTACCGTCTTATTATTCAGTCCGACACATATCATTGATTAGATACTGTTTAAAGGTGATGAAGCTTCCCGCTCACTCTAATGGGTTCTGATGTTTATCGGTCATTGGAACATGAAATAAATACAGACCAGTAGTCAATCAATCACCTGCCAGAAAGTTTACTTTTAACAATTAGGAATGATCAATGGTTTAAAATAGTTTTTTTTTTAAACTAAAATCTGTTTCCAGCTGCTCACAGGTGAATATTCTTCAGTCCTGTGTCAAGAACTGGCAAACAACATTGTTCCCTTCTGATCGATCTGTCAAATGTCTCACTGTTTTCAGATATTTTAGAGACCATTTGATTGATGAGTTGCAGCCAGTATATAATAAGCCCCCAGCTGAGGTGTGAAGGTGGAAACTGATCAAATCTGAGAGTGGCTGACCGTCTGTCGTCGTCTGTAGGTGAAGTTCTTCCACAGCAGCAGACCAAGCTGCGTTGAGACGGACATGCCTGCCTGCCGTCGCCGTGCCCGAATGACCGCCAGCTGCTGCTCTCTCTGCAATAAACAGAGAGACGAGGTTCAGCCAGCACACGGCTCAAAGGTGCCAGGGTCAAAGGTCACACCAGATATCCACCAGAGAGTGAACAGACTCTGGATTTAACATTTAAATGACTCATGAATGTGTGTGATCAGCAGCTTCAGTATCAGACTAACAACGTCAAAGTGAGTTTGCACCAACAGCTGGATCAGACTGGACAGAGGTTCCTAATAAAGTGGACCCTGAGTTGTTTTAGTCATGTATGTACATGTTGTTCTGCTCAGTTTGTCATTATAAACTCTGATTAAATCCACTAAAACCCTCAAAACATCCCTAAACCCCAACGTTGCTGCTGCTGCCACAGCAGCTCACACTTCAGCTCAAGCCTCATTTGTTTTCTAAGCTGAAGGTCCAGTGTCCTTTGTCTCATTCACTGCATTAGAAGATTAAATGTGAATATTTGGCAGCTTTTGTTTGAGAAAAGTCTTAAGCAATCAGTCAATTCTTAAGAGAGTTGATGTTTGCTTTCCTGTTTTTCTATCCTGGAGCTTTACATAACTACTGTTAATGTTCTGTCTTTATTTCATTTGACTGTCACTGACATTTTTACCCAAGTCGGCAGCTAAGTTATCCCCAGTGTGTGAAAGTACTGGTTCTGGTTGAACCTGAATTCACTGGTGCAGAAACAGACACACGAAGCACTCACTCATCTGTCAATAAACTTCAGTCTTAGCTCGATCAATAGATTTGATTCTGAATTTACAGTTTATCGTCCATTAAGGAAATGTATGTGAAGGCGTGGACGACTTTAAATAAAGCTGCCTGATCAGGTCGGTTAGGTGTTTGGGTTATGAATGAATAATACTTACTATTTCTGTCTCTGCTCTTTACCAATGAATCACAGTATTGCAGCAGTGGTGAAAGGAGTATTCAGATCCCTTACTTAAAAGTAGCAGTACCACAGTGTAAAAATACTCTGGTATAAGTACAAGTCCTGCATTCAAAATGATACATAAGAGAACAAAAGTATTAGCCTTAAAACATACTTGAAGTACTAAAAGTACTCATTATGTAGCACAGCAGTGTCAACATTAACTTCTTAGTGCCTGATGCATTACCATGTACTCCACATTAAATGCTGCTGCTGGTAAAGGACGAGCTGATGTTACCTACCTATATGCTTTTAACTTGAGGTAGTGTTGGGAATCAGGCACCAGAAATTCATAAAGTCTCATCATTATATTGTTTTCTGCATTAATCTGCTTCTGAATCAAACATTATTCATCGCTTCAATATTTTCACACTGATTCCTAAAAATATCTGGTGCAAATTGGCTCAGAGCTGTAAAAATAAAATTCTGCACTGTCCCAAACCTTTACATCAATTCCTTGTTTTCATCACATCATCAGTTTTAATGACATTTAAGGAGGAATGGTTGCACTGAAAACTACACAACATGGATTTTACACAAATATTTTGGCTCAGCATATTCAAATGTGACAGTTTCTGTTAGATCTTGGCTTTGGAAAAGATAATGCCTTTATTAGCTTGGTTCTTCCAGGTCCAGTCTTACTGCTCCGTGTCTGGGCTTTAACTTGAACTGAAAAGCTTCTGCTTAATAAAGTGGCCTTAAAAACCCACTTTTCTTGTCTTTTCTGTACCAGTTAAAAGAATCAATTAAAACACAAGTCTAGTTTCAGTTTGTTTCGACAAACCTTTAGAGCAGAAGCCCGTTCTCCACGTCCCCGTGTTTTAATCCGAACTGGTTTTGATTTACTCTATCGCCGTGTCTTCATACAAACTCTGAATTTACGTTGCTTTGGAACTTATTTTGCTTGTACGAAAAAAAGTGTCGCGTCTTTAAGCCGTTTTAACGCAGAGAAGGAAAGAAGCGTTACCTGGACTTGGACCGAGCTGGACCTGTAGCTTCAGCAGCGAGTTCACACTGCAGCTGCCTCGACACCGGGTTTAAAAGACACAGTGTGGACGGGACACGAAGCGGAGTCCCGGAGAGTGGCTGCATGTAAGGGTTAAGCGTTAAATACCTGTCCTCGTGTTTCAGCCTCAAGATCGTCTTCTCCTCCACCTTCCTCCACCAACATCTGCGGCTCGGGCTTTTGTGCGGGACTAAACTGGACTCACCGGAGTCAAAGCACAATCAATCAATCGCACTGCTTCCGCTGTTACACTTCAAAATAAAATAGGGACGCCGTTCATTTACATTTAGCCCACAATTAATCACAGCATTATTGACCTCATTATCGAGGTGTAGGCCTACAGGTTTTTATGCAGAACAAAATTGGATTCACCTGTATCAACAAAATGTGACTGGTGTTGAGCAGAAGATATTTATCCCCCTCGCTGGTGTTTCAGTCCTTTGAAGTCCAACAATGTCCCTTAATGACTGAGTTGTTATAGCCCAGTATCAGTGAGCGTCGTTACCTGTCTTTGAATCCTCCCCTGTCGACCGATGCCTATTGTCCTGGTGGGAAAGTTTGGGCAGAGATGTCAAAACAGGATTGTAGATGGATGACAAGTTGTGTCTTAGTCCACCACCCCTATTTAGTGAGGGGTGTTCTATTTTCTTAGTCCACCACCCCTATTTAGTGAGGGGTGTTCTATTTTTACAAAAATAGCTTCCTTAACTCCTCTCTCAAAGCAGCAATGTTCTCTGGAGGATCTGGACTTCACTGTCTGTTATGGTTTGTCTCCCTCACCAGGAGAGTGAGGAAGAACTATGGTAGGACTCAAGATTGCAGACCCAGGTGCTAGTGAAAAGAAAAGGGCTTAACAAAAACACAAAGTAACAACATAACAGGGTCCATGTACATGTACATGTACAATCCGGGTGGTGTAGAGATGGTGGAGGAGACCAGGGGAGTAGACAGGCTAACGGCAGGAACCAGGAGAGTAGGAAAATGAGGACGGACAGGTGAATAGACAAGCTAACCAAGGGGACAGGCGGACGAAAAGGGAAATCCACAGCACAGGAACTGTCAGCGTGGGAAGCAAAATGACGTACAAATATATACCACGACAATAAGGCTGTTATAGGGTATGCACGTTAATGCGACAGTAGAGCGTCCGCCAGAGGTATAAATGAGGTAGGAGGGTGATTACAGTAATGTGCCCCAACTGTGCGCGATAACCCACAAGTCACTAAGTACAAAATGCGACACAGTTGAGGCGCTGATCCTGCAAGAAGAGCGAGCAGGAGAGAGGAAGGCAGAAGAGAGGCAGGTCGTGCCAAGCGGACCTGACACTGTCCTCAAAAGAATGTCCTTTGTCCTTCAGGTGGAGGTGGACTGCTGACTCTGGTCCACTGGAGTTGGCCCTCCTGTGTTGGGCCATGTGTTTGTGAAGTTGTTACACTCCTGACTACACTTAATTGCATACACCACATCACTCTGTTTATGTCCTGTTTTGTCTTTCAGGTGGACCAGTCTCTGCCGCAGGGTGTTCCCTGGTTTAAAGTTAACTGGGATATTGTGGTTGTGAAA